GTGTTTGTCAAAGCCCGTGTGAATCCTTCCCGACAAAAGGTAAAAGCTCATTAGAAACATTGGGAGAGAGGACAAACAAGCGTTGGTCTTTTTAGCAAAGGAAAGGCGGCAAGTTTTCATCCAAATCAAGTGCAGAGCACAGGATGAATACATATCCTTCACTGGAAGAATTCAGAGCCGGGTGAGCAAAGTTGTGGACTTCACTATTCGAAGTCCTAGAAATATGGTCGATGGAAGAGTTAATGTGGGCAACAGTACAAGGAAAGTTCGCCATCAACGGCACATCCTGTGAAGTGATGTGTGTTGCAGCAGCAGCCCTTGTGAGGTTGAGCGAACCTGGCAAGAAGGTGATCTTCTGCAAATGAAGGAGACTTGCAATCTTTAGTAGCCCCAAGGAGTAGAGTTGAAGATTCTGCCGTGAGTGGGGAGAGCGTGACAGCAAAGAAGGCATGTATTTTTATGTTGTATATATAGTGCTGCAACGGACCAGCATCCGTTGGCTGGACGCACGAGCATCCAACCAACAAATGAATTATTTGTGGAGGAATGCTCAATGCTCATGTTGTGGGAGGATCAGCTCTTGTGGATATTTCTTACATTACTGCCTCAACTTTCTGTATTTCGGCCATGGTCCATGTTAAAGGCTCCAAGATCAACTTCAAGATCACTTCGGTATACGGCCCTTCTTCATCCACTCTTAGAAGATGCCTTCTTTGCCGAGCTCATTGCTCAAAAGCCATCGCATGGCGATCTTTAGCTCACCTTTGATGATTTAAATCAAATTTATCGAGCCCGTGACAAAAATAAGAGAAACGTCAGTGTAAGGTGCATCAACTGTTTCCGAGTCACTCTCCATAGATGTGAGCTCAAAAAGATCCATCTCTAAAATCAGTGATTCACTTGGAGCAATGGTAGGCAAAAGCCGACCTCGGGCAAACTTGACTCTTTCTTTTGCAATGTTGAATGGGACATCCAATTCGACACCCAGATTTTCCAGGCCCTATCTTCATCACTCTCCGACTACCACACCCTCTTTCTTGTGGAAGCCGCTGGGCCACGTAGGCCGAGGACTTCTAAATTCGATAATCTTTAGGCTTCCCTTCTGGGTTTCAATGAGGTGGGTTCTAACCTCTGGAGTGAGCACTCCGATCATTCCGAACCATAAGCCCTTCACCACAAACTTATGAAAACCGGCACTCGCCTCTCCGATGGAGCCGGAGGTTGTTCTTTTAACGCCAAAATTCAGCACCATGCCACCCTCTCCATCATCCGAGGTTCGGGAGGCCATCAACCAAGTGACAAGTGATAAAACGCTCGGATCGGACGGGTTCACCGGTCTCTTCTTTAAGAAGTGTTGGGGCATCATCAAGGATGATATCATGAAGGTAATTCCCCTATTCGTCAACCTCCACACTGCCAACCTTCATTGGCTCAGCTCCGCGAATGTTGTCCTCCTCCCGAAGGATGGTGCCGAGATAATCTTTGACTGCCGCCCCATTAGCCTTATCCACACGGTGGCCAAAATTATTGCGAAAATTCTCGCCATCAGGCTTACTCGTCCGTCATATGCGCGCCCAAAGTGCTTTCATCAAGATGAGAAGCATCCACGATAACTTTGTGTATGTGAGCAAGCTCATGTGTGCCGGCTCCATATGTGCAACACCCCCACCCTACTTTTGAAGCTCGACATTTGAAAGGCTTTTGACACGGTGAGGTGGGGGTACCTCCTTGATCTCCTTCAGCACCATATGTGCAACACCCCCACCCTACTTTTGAAGCTCGACATTTGAAAGGCTTTTGACACGGTGAGGTGGGGGTACCTCCTTGATCCCCTTCAGCAGAGGGGATTCCCAAGCATATTTCGTGATTGGGTCTCCGCACTACATGCACCTCCTCTTGTTACGGCTGAATGGTATTGCTGGCAATCCTATCGCCCATGGGTGTGGTCTTCGACAGGGTGACCCGTTGTCCCCTCTACTCTTCGCTATTTCCATTGACCCATTCCAAGAAAGCCAAACACAAAGTCAGCAATCAGATATGAACTCCAAAGTACATGTGCAATAGTTTCAAGGTTAGAGGTGTTTTCCAAGTACTCTCTCCGTCCGAGAATACTTGTCATCAAGATGAATAAAAGGGGATGTATCTAGATGTATTTTAGTTCTAGATACATCCCTTTTTATCCATTTTGATGACAAATATTTCCGGACGGAGGGAGTACATTAGAAATAATGAAATGTGGAGGGCCAAGGTTGAGAACATACAAATGTTCATGAGCATGGGTCAAAAAGACTACTTCCTCGTTGTTAAAAGAAAAGACTGCATCTTAAAAGTTTAAGCAAGGAAAGGCAAAGGCTACATCCACATTTCATCCCAAAGGAATCGCCCTGGCTGTTGGCCATGATATCATTTGCATCCCAAAGCACTCATTTTATTCAAGGTCATAGGCACTATTCAACACAAAGATGAGCATTATTACCAGAACCCCCTCACAAGCATATTTTACAAAGGTCCAAGTTTGCAGAGTCAGAAACACTAAAATTTACAAGGATATCAACCGCACTAAGGTAATTTTACAGGGTAGATAAGAACACAAGTACTCCCTCCGTCCCAAAATGTAAGATCATTTTTGACACAGATTGTTTGCACTGACGGATCGCTGGGCCTACATACATTGATGCTGGAACTCAAAGTTCGTAGGCGGGGAACCTTGATTCCGAGGGGTTAACCATGTCTAAAAGGAGATATGCCATCCCAGCCTTTCCTTCAAACAATGAAAACGGACGGTCACCACCATGCATGGCCTCCTCAGCAATCAATCGATCAGCATTTTCAAGCAGAAAGCAAGCAAAAGCCTTAGCCCGGTAGAGGTACTCAACATTGCCAGTTAGCCTATAAAGTGAGAGGAATACGTAGGCATTCCCGCTTATACCGTGGCATATTCCAACTCGCTTGAGAAGACCACGGTTCCAGACAACTTCAGCAGCCTCTGCAGCGGACTGCTTGAAGTGATCATCTTGGAAGACCTGAAACACAAACGGTTAGCTCATCATTGTGATCAAAGGGAAAGTTAAGTTAGAACACTACTACTTGGCTGCTCATCAGTCATAGCTAAAACTTGTGCCAAAGCCTAATTGGTCGTCAGTAAAAACTCCTGCTGAGGCCTGAACAAACTTGCCTATGTGGAGATGCATGCACAACTTCCCAGATGGGTATACATATGTGGTGTGAATAAGATGCATACATACTCAGGAAGATCCTATAGACTAACTCTATACAGATGCAGCAATACCTGATATGCCTTAGCGAGTGTAAGAGCAACACCAGGGGCACCATGGCACCAATGCACCAGGCGATCGGATTCACTGTCTTCACTCGAGGGGTAGTTTCCACTTGGAAACCGGTTACTGATCATGTACTGCAGAGTATTCTTCACGTCATCCTGCTCATCCAGCTTCAATTCAGTGTGCATGAGAACATGCATGATTCCAGCAAGTCCATGGGCAGCACCCCAGTACTTCTTCCCATGCCACTCATACATCAGCGGGCAGCTCCCCTTGTTCGACAGCTTCCTTCCCTCCCTAATTATGTCCTTTGCTACAGAACTCTGCCTCATTGCAGCGGTTTTGCATGATTAGATAAGATGTACCTTTCACATTGTTCTACAGAAACAAATAACGTGAAAAGAGGAACAGAATCACAGTGTCAACATACAATGTGTTCGGCAGGAATTGTCTTGTCACTGAGATGCTCATTCAGGAACAAACAAGCCCACAAATAGCCCGCCCTTCCATACAGCAGCTCATTTGGAACTTTCTCTGTGATAATTATCTACAAGATCACAAATGTAAGACAACTCTGTCAACAACATTAGGTATACCATCCGTGGTTCTACAACCATGTAGCAAAATAGCACAGAATTTAACATACAGACTCAAGAACCGAAATTACGCTTAATAGAGGCTTCACCTCATCAAACGAGCTCAGAAAGTTGGTCTCCATCAACTGATCATTGCAATGCTTCGCGATCACTGCTCCGAGAGCGCAGACACCGGCCCTCCCACATATGAAAGTCAAGAACCTGCGCCTTGCAACCAGGCGATCATTTCACATGAATTAACAACGACCAGAACAATCTATCTAACCAAACAAAACTACAAAACGGAAACAATGAGAGTCGCCATCGTACGGTAGGCCAAGCGACGCGGCATCGCAGGCTTGGACGATGTCGCTGGCGAGGTTGAGATCACGGCGGTCGCCGGTGACCTGGAAGGACTTGAACAGCAGGAGCGCCGTCCCGAGCGCGCCCGTGTAGAGCGTGTAGTCCGTCACCTGCCCCCCCGTCCTAGTCCATGTCTCTTGCACGACCTGCAGGACACGATCAATCAGTCGAGCACCTCGCGCGCGCGCGCCCCGAAATGAAACCACAACACAAGAAATGAAGCAAAGACGGCGTGCCTTGTCTTTGAGCCGGAGCGCGGCGCGGAGGAGCCGGTCGGAGAGCCTGGGGTAAGGGAGAGAGAGCAGGCCGCGGAGCCCGGCGGCGGGAGGGTCGCCGCCGTCGGGTGCCTCGGCGACGAAGTCGGGGAGGTCGTTGGGGAAGAAGCGGTCGGCCATGGCTGCTGCCGCGCCGTGCGCGCGTCGGCGCTTCGTGGCGTGGCGGGAGGAAGGGGAGGAGGAGGAAGACTCGCCGTGCGGGGGCTGCCGAGCGTGGTGGAGGCCTTCCACCTTCTCCTCGTCGCCATTTCCCATATTTTTCTGCTGGGTTCCTCGGCGAGGCTGGCACGTCTGTGGTGAGCTTGCACACGTGGAGTACCTGCTGTCCCTTTCTTCTAGAGCTTGGAGCTGCTCACCGCTTCAATGTCAGGCGCCAATCTGTTTAAAACATTTTAAGAATTAGGAGCATTTACGTTCAAAAAAATAGGAATATTTAAAGAGTAAAGAAGATGGCAACAATGTGTGAGATTTTGGGATATCAAATCTAGGTTCCCAACCTACTCCCGTGTAAAATTTCGTGAAAAAATACCAGGAAATGCATTCATGGCAAAAAGACAAAATTTTCTATGTATAGAAAAAAATGTTTGGATAGATTTTTGTTCGGAGAGTATTTCCTTCGCCATGGATATGTTTCCTGATATTTTTCATGAAATTTCACACGGGGTAGATTGAGAACTCAGGTTTGATATCTCAAATTTCAGCTTTGTATAACTTTTGATAATTTTTACGTTTAATATCTATACCAATATAAAAAGACTCAAAGGACAGATCCAATTACTCCCAGCCATCAAATCATGTCAATCCAACGACCTAGACTGATTCAATGTCAAGTGCTTAACACGTTTAGCGTGTAGTTAATTTCATGCCAAATATAATGCTAATCACATAATAACACGTAAATAATATTCTACTTAATATCCGCATGCACTTGATATACTTCCAAATTAACGTGCATTGCATGTACACATTTGACTAGTTCATATAAGGGTGTGGAGCGCCCAGGAGCTCCTATGTATTTCCGGTCAACATAGATCCTTTTTTATGCATGTTGCATACTGAGGGTGGTATGTTTACATGTTGAGATGAATATGTTAGTAGGGGCTAAGGGCATCTTCAACACCAAACTGCAAAAAAACATGGTATTTGTCTGAAAATTGGTCTGGACTGGTGTCCATACACAGATACGGAAACCATCCATCCAACCCTATACCGCAAATGTTTGCCTTAGAAAAATAGCAAATGTAATTTATAATTTGTTTAATAGCTAAACTAATAGTTTCACCAAATGCTACTCATATTTCCGCCAAATGCTACTTATATTTCCGCCAAATGAAGCTACTAAGTTCCGCCTAATCTAGCAAGGACTGCCTAATCAAGCATAATTAGCACCTTCTGCCAAATGCATAAACATCTTCCACATTATCTTTCGTCAAATGTAACGCAATTAGCACAAAGTCTTCCGCCCAAAGCTAGCCATTCTGAATGGACGAAGAGCAGATACGGTACGTGATGCCTTGGCGGATGTCCGGACTTCCGCACCCCCCCCTCCCCCTACGTTTGGTTCCAGTTTACCAAAAAAAGTGGCATGGGCCGCTCGGTGGACCAATACAGGACCGCGTTGGATTGCATACTGCGTCCGGACAACGCGATCTGGATGCTTGCGCGAGGTTTGAGGGTCTGCCTTGAAGATGTCCTAACAATTTAGATATGGAAGGTTAAACTAGTACTAGGCTCGGTTTACAACTATTTTTTCATGTATAAGTATAAACTAAGCACAACACAATACAATTCAATAGCCATACATCGCTCATTGGTACTTCCTCCGGTCGCGAAGAGAGGGCGTACAAAAATATTTATCTTTTAGAAAGAAGGGTGCGAGTGATTATTAGCAGTGAATTTCCTAAAATACTCCCTTCCACCATTACCCACCTCTTTCCTTATCAAGGCAGTTATTGTGCACACGATTGCGCAAGGATGAAATGGTCACATGAATGTAAATTAGGAAGTTTCGCTAGCATTGTGCTCCTCCTTAATCTACAAGCGAAAAAAATTATGTGCTCTTTTCATGGTCAGAGGGAGTAGTTGATTAATTATAAATTATGTATCTTGTTTATTAAAAATATTAATATTTCTCGCCTCAAAGAATTCTTAGTTCTTCTCTGAATTTTTAGGGCATATAAGGAAGACTACGAACACGTCATTTTTTTCAAGTAACTCATTAGAACATCAAGAATAAAATAGTAGATTCCTAGAGGGCCTAAGCTCACATATTGAGATTGACGAAGGCATCACTCGCACCTTGCTTATCAAACATGGTGTTTGATCCCTAGTGGACTAGGGGTACAACCATCCTCCTAACCTCCCTAGTGATTCTCAAAAATCTTGTATAACTTTGATGAAACTAATTATAGAGTGAAAAATAAATAGAGATTCGTTGTTTCCTAACACCCTCTAATTACCCGGTCAGCCTTACCCGCCTCAAAAAAGTCTCGGTTATAGAGACCCATCGGCCTCTCCATTCAACAAAGCTTGTCTCTTGTTTTTCTAGGCAAATAAAAGACATGTCGTCCATTACAAGAAGAGACTACAATCCCCATCTAGGGCAATTTACCACAATGCCCCAGATAATATGTTTCGCTCAACCATGTAGGGAGAGAGCACGTGGAGGGCCACACATCTAGCGAACATTGGGAGAGACGTCTGACGTTGCTCCACCTCGAAGCCTCGTCGACGACAATCACCATCGAGCAAGAGCCCCACTGGACGTTGGTGATGAAGATGATGGTCGGACACCTATAAGAGGATGAAGATGATGAATAGCTCACTGATGACGAGGATCTAGTTGAACAACATGTGTCGGAGAGGAATGATCTCCTTGTACGGGCGGTGGCCTCCTTGTAGAAGATGAAGAAACATCAAATACCTGTGTGCCAAGGATGTGCATCCAAAGACCACATTCGGGGCCTCCAGTGAAGGTGGTTGATGCTTGAGATCGATGGTTGCCTCTGAACATACCAGAATTCGGCTGAGACTCCTTCAAGCCGGAGCAGAAGATGAGCCATGATACAGTTCCCAACTCAAGTGAAGAGAACCACTGCCAATCCATGGAAGAAGAATGAATATGCACCGACTCTAAAGAAAGAAGAAAGAGCATGCACCAATTCCAAAGGAGTCTGCTTCCATTTCTTGGGAACCAAAAGTAAAGCGCGAGATCTATGGATAAAGACTTATTGAGTGTTTAGAGATTGGATGGGTATTATCTTACAGAAGATTAAGGATAGGGGGAGAGGCAATGATGGAGTGATTATCTTGTTGATACACTAGTAGTTACAAACTTCTATATGGTCCAACAATTCCAGTGAAAATGTAGAATTGGTATTGAAATATATAGAATTACCATCTTACTAGTACTAACTTCAAACAGAGGCCTGCTTAAATGTTTGAAAGACGGGGTTCATTTTACACAATTAGCATGTTTTCATGATTTCATAAAAAAACATGCTCCAGTTATGGAGTATTTAGCATGTGGGATCAAACTTTCTTGTTGAATTCCATGGTTGAACTTTGACCGTCAATTTGACCCATAAAAATGGGAAGTTACACCTTGAATACATGGACACCATGTAAATAGGGATAGAGAGAGTAACAGCTAAATCTCGATTTTTTTAGAAAACGCAAAAGACTTGCGTTTCTTTGTATTGAAAAGATAGAGTTTGTTACAGCCTCCTAGGAGGAGCGATTACAGATAGCGGTCTAAATCAGTGTATGTCCCAGGTTTGTGGTAGGATGGCACGCAGGCCACGGGCTCCCGCTCTTGCCCAGAGCGTAGCTTCATCCTTGATCTGTGTGATCAACAAGTTGGTCGAAGGGGTCGCGCCGTTGAACACGCAGTTGTTGCGATGCTTCCAGGTCATCCAAGGGATCAACAAAGTAGCGGTGGTAAGGCCCTTTTTCATTGGCTTGGGCGTGCTCCGGTGCGCCGAGCGCCACCAGTCGGACAGGGATTCCTCGTTGGAGGGTGCGCTACATGGCAGGCGTAGCCAGGACAGGCTCTCATGACATACTTGTCTGGAGAAGGAGCATTCCAGCAGGAGATGCCGGATCGATTTGGGCTCCTGATCATAAAGCGGGCAGCGAGGGGGTGTGGCAGTCCGCGACGAGCCAGGCGATCAGCCGTCCAGCAACGCCCAAGGTGAGCAAGCTAATGGAAGAACTTGACACGCGGAGGTGCCCAGCCATTCCAGTTCAGTTTCCATGCAGGGCAGGAGACCGAGCCTTGAAAAGTGGCGAGGTAGGCGGATTGCGCCGTGTAGTTGCCTGCCGCATTCCACTTCCAATGTAGGCGATCCGACTCGACATTGAGCGTTATGTGCTCGAGCGCGTGCCAGGTGGTCAGGTACCGGCCGATCTCTCGGATGCCGAGAGTGTTGGGGAACATAGTAATTTCAAAAAATTTCCTACGCACACGCAAGATCATGGTGATGCATAGCAACGAGAGGGGGAGAGTGTGATCTACGTACCCTTGTAGATCAACAACGGAAGCATTTGGTTGATGTAGTCGTACGTCTCCACGGCCCGACCGATCAAGCACCGAAACTACGGCACCTCCGAGTTCTAGCACACGTTCAGCTCGATGACGATCCCCGGACTCTGATCCAGCAAAGTGTCGGGGAAGAGTTCCGTCAGCACGACGGCGTGGTGACAATCTTGATGTACTACCGTCGCAGGGCTTCGCCTAAGCACCGCTACAATATTATCGAGGACTATGGTGGAAGGGGGCACCGCACACGGCTAAGAATATGATCACGTGGATCAACTTGTGTCCATGGGGTGCCTCTTGCCTCCGTATATAAAGGATCCAAGGGGGGGTGCGGCCGGCCCTAGTAGGAGGCGCGCAGGAGGAGTCCTACTCCTACCGGGAGTAGGACTCCCCTCCCTTTCCTTGTCCAATTAGGAGAGGGGGAAGGAAGGGAGAGAGGAGAGGGGGGCGCCGCCCCTCCCTCCTTGTCCAATTCAGACTAGGGGGAGAGGGGGCGCGCGTCCTGCCCTGGCAGCCCCTCCTCTTCTCCACTTTAGGCCCATGAGGCC